AAAAATATGGCTGGTTGTTTATGAGAAGTCCACTGTCATTTATGAGAGTGTTACCTGCTTCTGCACAATATCCCATTCACAAGATGGCCTGGTGTAGGTGAGTGCATAGGGAAGGAGGGCGAAATGCCAGCAAGTGCCCAGAATAGCTCATAGAGCAGGAGAGATACTCATGTGCTTGCGCCCAAGGTGCTGTGTTTTAGCTTCATAAACCTGTGAGGTTGGCTAACCCAGGAGTGGGGAACCTTTTTAGCCTGAGGGCCACATTGCCTTCTGGGCAACCTTCCTGAGGCCACATGCCAGAGGCAAAAATGGGCTGAGCAATAAATAGAAAAAGTTTGTCTTTGCACAGTAGGCAAATTTCTACACACATGCACATATAGGCATTATGAGAGGCCAAAACACATTCCAGCCATACTTGGGCCTGAGGTACGAATGAGAGAGGTATCCATTGCAGTTTGCATTTAAAGGTGAACCTACCTGATTCATGTTTTCTGAAACAATATACAAACTGAACTGCAGCCATCCTTTGACTATTTACTCACCTCCAAATTTGCAGTGCAGTTCTCCAGCCAAGTAATGTTTCAAGAACGCACGTATTTGGATAAAATGTCCAAGCAAAATGCAATGAAAATTTCTTTGCAAAGATGTGTATATTAGGAGGAAACTGAGAGAAGCTGAAATTGTCAGATTTGCCCATCCCTAGTGTTTCCCACCCCTGAGCTGGCCTCTAAGAGGCCACTCTCCCATGAGCTGCAGTCACAGTGTCCTTGACCTTCTCAGTATGTGCCTTTTTGGAAAAAGTGGTGTTTAGGCCAAGTGTTGGCAGTGGAGTAACTTAACTTTTCTTTTAAAACCCGCTTTTGGATTTCTCTGGGCATGATATTCTAAATGCAAGTAGTATTCTGCGTGCAAGCTTCTTTTCATGTGTCTGCACACAGGTCTGGGATAAGAATGAATGCTGTCACTCGAGCTGTTATCTTTTGTTTCACTTTAACAGCCGGGAGCTTTAAATAATCTCCGGTGGCAAGGTTGTGGGTGTGGGCCCTTTCTTCCTCCATTGCAGGATGAGAAGATTGCAGCTGTCAGGGTCGGAATAAAGGCTACAGATGAGGAAAATAATTCCAGTCTCACACCCTATCATTTATCCGATGGAATGTTGATAACAGTTAAAACAAAAATTGCATATGGACTTTTAAAATCCTGTTTCCACTTTTGAATCCTATTCTGAAATCTTCCTTGCATGAAGAGTTATGGCATATTCTTTTAATGCACGTATTCTCAACCATTTTTCACCTGAATATTTGCATTTGAGTGATATTGTAACCTTTTTTTGCAGCAGATATTATGTATCCTTGCTATAGTTTAACCTTTTGAAGCCTAGTCGTCTTTATTCTTGTGAGCAAAACATGCTAGCATGAGAACAACAAAAACTACTAGCCATGATGGCTAAGCTCTGCCTCCACAGTCTGAGGCAGCAATGCTTCTGAATATCAGTTGCTGGAAACCGCAGGGGGGAGAGGGCTCTTGGGCTTGAGGGTTACCCACAGGCATCTGGGTGACCAATGTGAGAATAGGATGCTGGACTAGATGGGCCACTGGCCTGATCCAGCAAGCTCTTCTTAGGTTCTGTGGATTGGCTTCAGCTACGGTAAGTACTATGCAATGTAAGCACATTAAAACCAATGGACTTGATTAACTGAAGCCCACTGTTTTCAGTGTGTCTACTGTACGTCTTAGTGCAGGGGTGGGAAACTTCAGACCTAGGATCAAATGTAGTTCCCCAACCTCTTCTATATGGTCCTTGAGATTCTACCTACTGGGCCCGCTTCACCCCCTCCTTGAGTGTTTTGGGGTGTGTCCTTGATTTCTTATAATACTTCTTGCTTCCCTGGATGGAGATTAGAGAGGGGTGTGCAAATGTGTAGAAGCCATCCTTCTGCATAAAGGTAAACTTCACATTCATTGCTCTGCACTGGCCACTGGAAGAAGTGAATGTTGCCCCTGGTTTGAACAACACCACCAACAACAATTTACGTATTATTTACACCCCACCCATCTGGCTGGGTTTCCCCAGCGACTCTGGGCAGATCCCAACAGAATAATAATAATAATAATGTGACAAAATATCAAAAGGTTCCCTAGTCCTGATTCAGTTAGATAGAACCGTGTATATACAGTCTTAAAGCTACAAAGAAAATGTGACGTAGTATGACCATGTGGGACACACAAATGTACCAAAACATGTGGCGTATTTCGTCAAAGTAAGTTATTGAACAGACTGAAGAAGGGGAGCACCATGATGGCCGTGGCCAGTATTTAGTCCTTATATAGAAATACAGATATCCAAGGAATCCTTGAAAGAGAAAAGCAACTGGTCTTGCTCCCACCCCCCAGCCCTTTTTAATATATTTGTACGCAGGTGGATACAGAGCACACAACTGATAAACAGTGGAAATGAATGTAAAGAAAAGCCTCGGTGTGCCTTTGGTTTGGTGTCTTGTTCAAACCTGGGCTTTTTATTAAGCTTTTTCCAGACTAGCCACAAGATCAAACCCTGAAGGCAATCTGTGTGAGGAAACCTGTTTCCATGTTCAGATTTCTCTCTTATGACATCATGGTAGTAAAGTATTGGTTTTTCTGGTGTTTCCTGTCATGACCGAGTTCCTTCCAGCTGTGATATCTGGATATACTACTGTGGCATTTGTACTCCCCCCCCCCCCGCCCCACTAATGAACCGATATACAGTAGCTGCCTATAATTTTTGTATAAGGCATTCTACAAATTTGGTGCCAAAATACAGGAGAAAATAGCTGCTATTTTGCTTTGGGTTTTTTAAATTGAATATGCTATTTCCTTGCATTAATATTTTAATAGTGACACAGATACCGCATAATATCCAATTAAGTCATACTCAGAGTAGATCCATTGAAATCAATTGTCTTAAGTTACTTAATTCCATTGATTTTCAGTGGGTCTGCTCTGAGTATGACTTATGTTTGATAATTTGGATATCATCCAGTCTTTAAAAACATTCAAGAAGAGGATTTTGAAGACTCTGAGTGATATCTAAATAATCAAGCATTAGTCATCTTGTAAAAATCTATCTAGGCTATACTTTGAAAATGCTTACCTCAACTGGAGTCACATAAACTGTCAGACCTTTTAAAAATGAAGGGTATTCAAAAATCTAGCTTATAAAAATGTAATTGATTTTTTGAAGAGTTATTGACTCTGGCAGGCTGCTGTTGTACCATGGCTGCACCTCCAATATAAGATTTAGCCATAATTACTATATGGGGCATGGTAGCATTTCAGTAACAGGTTATTTTATATGTAACCCTTCCACAATTTTGTTATATAGGCTACAAGTGACAGTTCTCCAGTTTATTTGTGCATTTTGTGCAGATCATCAATGCCAACTTCATTTCAACACAAACAATTGTTAAAAACGCACTTGAAACAGAGTTTTAATTTAGAATTGTGTTGGGAATAAAGATCCATAGTGTGACATATCTGCACTTTCAGACATCTTATCTGTCTGTGTCATTTAAAAGAATGAGCTTCTAAGTAGAGGAAGAAAACATCGTTTGATTTTTGTGGTTGTTGTTTCATTTTTTTGTAGCAGTTACAAAACCAGTCTAATTCTAGCACTGTATTTGGCCACTGTTTTCAGAATGATTTCATTTTAGTAACAAATAGAACATTATTCGAAACCGTCTCACTGATTAGAACTGAGATCTCAAAAGCAGTTAAAATGAAATTCTCAAGCCTCTCGTTTTGCTGAAACCTCTTGTTTTTGGAGATGTCCCAGTGACTTTTAAGGGATGATGTCTGCAGATCTGGGTCTAATATAATACTTTATGCATATTTTTTGCTGCAAAAGGCTTGTGTGTCTCGCTCACTAAAATTAGTTGGTGTTTTTGAAGAATTGAACAAATGACCCCTACCCCAAATTGCAGTGAAAATGAACCCGCTGGTTCTCTCATGTTCTAATTAACACTTTCAGATCATATAGACTCTGAAGTGCAATGGAGTTTTCAGACAACGCAGTTGCCTTTAGGGTTTAGTATGGAAGCATCTTGTCTGATATCCCTCCTCCTCAGCTTGCTTCTGAGCCAATAAGTCCCATTAAACTCAACTATGAAAAATAACACCCAAATAAAATGCCTTCACTTAAAAAAAAGAAAGCAATCACAAAACTACTGGACTTCAAATAAGAACCCAACAGCTTCAATTATAGAAAACCAGAGTTACAATTCAACCACCTGGTTAAGTGCACACTAAGCATCTGCTAGGCTTCTCTTTGACAGGCTGTTTATACCTTTTTTATGCATAAATCTCTTTGATGTTTTCCCCCCTTCCCCACTCCTACTGTGGCTTATCATTCTCAGAAATACCTGTTCGTGCAAAGTGAAGCATTTTTCCAAGGACTACTTATTTAATTAACTAACGGACAGATACAGCCTATATTTATAGAAGTTACTCAGAGGTGAAAGGGACTGGACAAGGAGTTGTGAGGGAGAAGGAAACAGCAGGCCACAGCAACAGCGTGGCCAGCACCCTCCCATCCACACCACAGCTTTGTTTTTCAGCTGTTACAATCTGATTGCATTTTATATCTTGCTATACAGTTTAAGACTTTGAGTCAAGGCATGCTAGATATTAAAATAAAATATTAGCACTTACCGGATGAATTCAATGACTGTAGGTACAGTACTCTGCGATATGACATACTTAGGAAATGTTTAATAATAATTTGTTTTTATTTAAAGCATTTTTACCCATATTTTTAAGTTTAAAAGGCTCCCAGAATGGATTGTAAGATCTGTATTAAGATAATCCCTAGGATTTAGAATCTAAGTGATATGACACACAAGGGGAAAGGGATGAGTTGGCAGGGGAACCAAGATTCTATGTTTTATGGAATCATGGAATTGTAGAGTTGGAAGGGACCCGGAGGATCCTCTCGTCCAACCCCCTGCAATGCAGGAATATGCAGCTGTCCCACACAGGGATTTCACCTGCAACCTTGGCCTTATCAGCACCACACTCTCACCAACTGAGCTATCCAGTTCTTTCTTTCTTTTATTAAATTTATATCTCGTCCTCTTTTGAAGATTACAGGTGGTTTATGAAATAAAAACATGAAATACATAGTATAATAGCAAAAACAACAAATCTTATTATATTTGTATGTCACTTTTTGACTGAAGTCTTCAAAGTCACTCACAATATTAATAAAATGCAATGAATACAATGAATAAACAACACCAAACAAGATCAGCTTGAGCAGGAACACTACTTTATCTGCTTACTTTTCCCTCAAGTTCCTTCCCACATGTCAGTTGGTGGTAGAAAATCCTGTGCTGAGGGAACAATCCTACAGCAGCCGGAGCTGGAGCTTTTTCATGGAATCCTTCCCATAAGCCAGTTGGTGGCAGGTGGCCCTGTGGCTAAGAAGGGGATGCTTGTGTTGCTCTAGTGCTGACATGTGTGAGGAAAATGCTTCTACCGTTTCTTTGTTTGCAGTTTAGCTCAAGCTTTCTTGACATAGGATTAAGCAGTTAGAGTCTATAGAGCAGGTTCTAATAAAGACCCAGAAACCCCTTTAAAATGCGATTTAAAGCATTTTCTTGCAAGAGTGCCAGTTTCCTGGTCTGTAGAATAATCTTATAATTGCCACTGCGCTTTTGAGCTTTCAGTTCTTGAGAGAGCATTTAATCCTTCTGCAGATTTCTGCAGGCACATTTTGGGCCTAATTTGCTCCTGGTGTATTTTAGAGCAGGTAGCATTCCTTATGACGTGTAATTAGATAGTGAATGCATATGTAGTATAAAATATGCTTGAATTCTTTTCTCATAAATTGCATCCTGGATTATCTGAGAGCACAAAATTGGAGGCTGGAAGCTAAACTTAATTCTGGCAGCCATTTAAAATAAGTGATTGGGTAGTTTTCCAAAGGCAAGCAAGTTCAGCAGGTACAGTGAATAGCAAACTGCTTTCCAACCCATTTTAAGTAAACAGTTTAATTATGAAGTTATGTAAGTGCAACTGCAGTCCCTTGAGTGCAAGAAAGGATATTGGCAAAGGTTTTAATGTATATAGAAGAATCTGCAGTGAACCATAGATGCTGCGAAAGAACTTGGATTTCATCTGTGTGCATCTGAGAGACTTATTTTCAGATGTTTAATTTTTTAAAAAAGAAATCTGTATAATTAAGGTTTGAGTTATGAAAACATCTCCAGGGTGCCATGGCAAACATTATGACACAAATGTGAATAAAATAGTTATAACTGCATGCAAGTGCACTAAGCACTGTGCAGGACTGGCCTGAGACATGTTGCCATCTCCAGCATCTGCAATACATGGATCCAGTAAAGAAATAATAGGAAAATGTGAAAGAGCCTGTCTGGCCCTTGGGTTGGGACACACCCTTCTCCTTTCCTTTCCTTTCCTTTCCTTTCCTGGAAGGGTTTGCTTATTTTGCTTTCTTTCTTTTAAATACAATTCCATTTGCCTACAAACTCAGAACTGCAGTGTATTAAACTGTGGTTTCAAAGCAAGCCAGGATCAGAAACCATGGTTTGATCCTGGCTTGCATTCACAAATCATAATATAAACATGGCTCTGATACTTTTTCATAGGCATCTATAAAATCATTGCTGCTATAAGCAACTGCTTGGGTTGACACTGCAGTCAGAACTACTACTCTGAGACTGGAGCAATAAGTGGAAAGGAGCAGTTGTAAAGAATCTTCCCATTCAAGCAAGCAAGTTTCTGCAGAGGGGAGAGAAGACGATATCTGTAACTTTTCACATGGTGCTTAGTCACTGTCATCCCTGGAATTTATGCTACACAAACAAGATGTTCCCCATGTATTTGATGTTAACTCGTCTGGGATAAGTACCATTTCTGAGTTCTATATTCACAACTGTTGATATTGCTTATATGGGCTACTTATACCTAACATGCTAACCAGCTGGTAATATGATCAGGATTCTTCAGGAGTAACCAGGACTCCAATTAAATATGGCCTCGTGATTTGAAATATATTTAAAATGCTAACATGACTATGAGTTGTGTTATATACATGTGTGAAAGCTTCGTACTGAAGTATCTGAAGTAGCCAGTTGTCTTGGTTTGTAAAAGGAAGCTGCATTTGAAATACTCCTTTTATAGAGCACCTCCGTTAATTGCTATGGGACTATTCCACAATAAGTGGCTTGTAGATCACAGCTTTGAGCAAAAGTGCCAAGATATGGGAAAGTCTGGCTTTGTATAATTTGGAACATGATCCATCCCAAGGTTAGTGAAACTGAGTATATGGAAGGTATCAGTATGAAGAGCTTTGTTGGATCAGACCAAAGACTCTGGACTGATCCACCAGAAATAATTGTGTGTGTGTGTGTGTGTGTGTGTGTGTGTGTGTGTGTATACAGAGGGCCAGCTAGAGAAGAGTAAGGAGGGATGTGGGCTCTACCACGTCTTCAGTGATCACTTCCTTCTCACGCCTTCCTGGGGTCTCCTATGCTCAGATTTCGCATGTAGTAGTTTCCCCACCTTTTAGTAGCATGCTGTGATGGGTTTTTCCACGAGCTTTTTGAACTATTTTAACATTTTTTAGGAGAACATTGTACTTTGCCGCTGCCTATTTTGGATATGGTTATAAACTGCAGCAGCCAGCTGCGGTAATCTATAATAATCTGTTCCATGTTAAGGACTTCCTCTTGCTATGAGCTCAGCCATAGGGCTGCTGCATCATGTCCATCAGTGTTGAGAAAAACATAATCTGTGGGTTGTAGCACATGACTCCAAGTTGCTATGCAAAATGTTGCCTGTCCTTGACAGGCAGCATACACCAGAAAGCTCTTAATTAAGCAGATTTGTTTCTATACAGATTTTGCACAATTCATTGTGTTGGTGTTCTCTCTCCCCCCCCCCCCATTTTAAGCAAAAGAGATAGCTATTAACTTTGTTTAAATGTTATATGTGATTAGGAGTGCCACTCTGCTGAATTCATATATGAAGCAAAAGCACTAATTAATCTGATTTTCATTTTGAGTACGATGTGAATATAAAGTGAGATTGGATCATTATTTTCTACAGGTAGCTGCTTTTGTATTTCATCAGTTGGTCCCCTGTCGCTATGGGTAAATAGTAGAATGCTATGCATTCAATGGAATCCAGACAACTTGTTCTTGAACTTGTTCCTATTGAAGTCAAATTTTTATCAACTCATCCTGTTCAATTTCAGTGTGACACAAGTTCAACTAATGTAGTCGGGATCCAACCCAATATTCATCATATTGTGCCCAGCCTTTTGTACAGAAGGCTAGCTCATGGGTTCTGAAAACTTAAGTCTGGTGGGAGAGGCTATCTCCACATGAGCTGACTAAAATCTCTACAATGTCCTAGAGAATTCCTGGAAGAATCACCTCAGTTTGCATGTGGTGCCAGCCAAATAAGAAGCAGTGCACGTGAAAATTAGAAGAGGCCTGCTGGATCTCACAGGGGCCAAGCAGATACCTGGACGTGTGGTTCTCAATAAGTGGTATTCGGAGGCAAACTAAAGCTTCTGACCTAATTGACAGACACCTTTCTAGACAATTGCCTCGTTTGTTTGAATGAATTAGCCAGCTTTTATCTACAAAGAGGGCTTTCCCTAAGTTGCAGAGCACCTGCTGTGCATGCAGAATGTTACAGGTTCAATTCCTGGGATCTCCAGGTAGAGCTGGGAATACCCCTGTCTGAAATCCTGGCAAGCCACTGTAAGTGAGTGTAGACAATACTAAGCTTAAATGGTCTGATTCAGCATAAGAAAACTTCCTAGTTGACGTGTCGAGCTGCTGTTTTCGTTGCACAACAAGAGTATGGGAGCAAAAATCAAGCCACATCTCTTAGGTGTGTTTTTTTGTTCAATGTGTGCGGAAGAGGAAGGCATGGTACAGTTGGTATCATGATATGGATTGATTCTAAGGTATGGCATCTGCTCTTGTTTCTATCCAAAAATATGGATTGTCATCATGATTTTTGAACTATCTTTGAAATGTTTGAAAAACCGTTTCAGTTGCTTCAGCATTTCCTAACAAGCTCTTAAGAGCTAAAAGTGCAATCCTATGCATGTTTACTCAGAAGTCCCACTTAGTTTAGTTGAAGTGCACTTCCAAAGAAATGTGTAGCATTCATTTTCCATTCTTTTTATCAAAGAAAGTGATTTTCTAAATACTTGGAAATCTTATGCTAAATGATTGGGAAAGGGACAATAAGTGTACTGTATTATCCATTAAGTTTTATTTACTCTGACAGGTGATTTAAAAGTAATAGGTACCTTACAATAATGCTGATAAGAGATAGATAATACCGCTTGAGATTGAACTATTTGAGAAAATAATGGCTGAAGCTCTGCATGAGTCAAATGGAATCTACTACAAGGATAATCTCTGGCTAAATGTTAAGCTGTAGGGGGAAGCATAAGCTTCAATCAACTGTTACAAATAATTTGATCCCAGGGCTACAAGTGCCTTAAATTAAATCCTTCTCAGCAGGATCCAATCTAAATCATTAAAGGCATGTCACGTAGAACACTATAATCATCTTCTATGTGTGCTTGATTTATGAACGAAAAGTACAGTAAATCATAGCTTCTAATTGCCCGAGTCTCTATGTTCAGAATCACGCAGAATGCTCCGTATTAATAACATTACTAATACCCCTCATTTTCCATCTTGAGGGATCCATCCCAACAGGACTAGTGCAACTTTTCTTTAGCCCAACTGTTTCTGGCAAGGTAGCTAGTATTTGTTTTTGCATTATTCTTTTTGGACAGGAGTCTGTACTTTGTCTTTTGAGCTCACTGGGGTTTTTCAAATTTGACAGGCTCGTCAGAAATGCAAACCACTACTGTTAGAACAGCTGTTAAGCTTATTATCTGTTCCAGAAGAGAGCAGAAGACATCGGTGCTGCAGGGTCTGCATAGGATGGATTCCTGTTCCATGCCACTCACAATTAAAGCTGGTAGCTTTGGGCTACAGCTGCTCTGTGCTCTATGTGCCCTACAGTTTATCTTATCT